CTCCAGTACACGTGATGGCATTTACACAAACTGCCAGAAGATTTTTTTTACTTTTTAGATTAAAATACCATACCGATACAAATACCATCATTTTAAAATGATTAATCATGATTAATCGTGATGTATCCACTGCTACTCTGTGATTAATCAGATTGAAACATTAAATAATTTGACAGGCCTAAGCCTTAAGTAGGTATTGAAACTTAAACTTTTAAACTTCAAACTTTTAACTTTTAAACTTCAAACTTTTAACTTTTAAACTCTAAAGAATTAAGATGAATTGAAGATGAATGAATAATGTCATGTTGTATTCACACACTACCTGTTTAGACACTGACACGACACGAACTCCCTCTCAGCTGTCAGTCACTGTCCGCAGGCCACGCCCCCTTACGGAAACTGTGGCGGCTGAGGGACACGTGATTAATTCAGTATGGCGGAGGTGTTGGTTCAATGATTTTTTTTTTGTTTTTTTTTTCGCCCCCACTGTACGGACGGCTCCTGAGTAGCACTGCGCTGTGGAAGCCGTGGATATCCCCGGGAACTGGATGTGACACAGCAGCGCGAACCTTCCGTCTACCGCCGAAACCCGCTCTCACAGTGGTGGGTCATTAATTTTAAACTGTTTCCCCTCCTTGTCTTTTCTCAGTTTTCATGGTTTTTTTGTTGTTTTTTTTTCACCACTCCCTGCGCTCTCCTTCCAGGGAAACTGTCCCTTCACTCTCTCTCTGCGTGTGTGAGCACGAAGTTTAAAAAGCAGCGGAAATAAACTAAGAAATTAGCATTGTTGCTAATAAACAACCTACCGAGATTTTAGCCGAAGGCGGTTTAACATCTGTATTTCTACGGTTGTAGCGGTTTAACACCGCGTCACTGACGGATGAATTCATACTTTTGGAACTTCTGCGGTACAGACTTTCACTAGGGTTGTTTTATTTATTTATTTTGTCTGACTTTTCACTTTTCTCATATGAAGTCATTTGTGCCGTTTTACTACTGTTGTTGTTCTTGTGGCGTGTAGTTTTCTTGCTACACTTTTCCTTTATGTTTCATGTAGCGTGAAACGACGTCACGTCGCTGCTTTACAGTAGACTCGACCGTCTGTCATCCTTCATAGTGTGTGTGAGTGTGTGTGTGTGTGTGTGTGAGGTTTGTGCTGAGGTCGGACCGCTGCAGCCCCAGCTTTGGTTGTAAACTCATGTCCTCATGAAGTGTAAACACAGCGGTGACCACGGCTGCTGGCCTCGGCCTCTGGAACGTTCTGGAAAACTGTTCCTCCAGCATTTATACATACAACCTCTGCAGGACTGTGGGTTTCTGTGCTGCCTTGCTCATAAACCTCTGGCCCCACAGTAGTAGCAGCAGACAGTGTGAGCCCGGTCTGTGGTTGAAGTCTGGGGGATTTTTGATGAAGATTTTCTAACAGTTCTTCTTCTTTTTTTCACATTTACACTGAATATGATATGGACTCAAACAGTTGACCTAATCCTGCGTGTTTTGGTATAAAGAAACCATAGTACGTACATGTTTCTGCAGTTGATTATTCATGCTATTCAAGATACAAATATTGTTTATTTCTGTGTGATAAAGAAACTTAAGTTAAGCAACTCTTTTTTTTATCTTCTGCGGGCCACACAAAATGGCTTGGCGGGCCGCATTTGGCCCCCGGTCCATGAGTTTGACACGTGCTCAAGTGATACTCCGGGCCTTGAGTTTGACACACGTGCTCAAGTGGTACGGGGTGAATTATTATTATTTATTTTTTTGTAACTGTTTGCAACATAGTGTGAAAAGAAGTATAAAGTTATGAGAATGGTCATAGCACCATCAGTCCTGCAGAGGCAGTATTGTCAAACTGAAACTTATTTCTGTGTTAGAAAGTGGTATTGTCAAACTGAAACTTATTTCTGTGTGTTTGAAAGTGCCAGTATAATAGAGATTATAAATAATCTTGTTAGGAATTAATAATCCGTACTTTGTGTATCTACAGAATAGAATGAGACAGACGAGTATTTTACTTTAATTTTGTAACGTCCCTTTTAAATTCAATATCGAGGACACATGCAGAACCTGAAGTGCTCCGGTCAAGACACATTAACGGTTTGCTTACGCAGTCGCTGTTTGCCCCGCCACCTGCATCAGTGTACAAAAGGCAGCGGAGGAATCATCACAGCTGCCAGTGTAACCTGTTTGTTCAACCTCATTTGACAACATACGCACTTTGGCTCCATTTTGACTCCGCCGTTGGCCGTCTGCCTAAGGCTTGACAAGGCTATTAGTGATGGAACTGTGAAAGGGTGTGGTGGTTCTGAATGAACCTTAAAAAAATTGGGCTGCTTGTGATGTTCTTTTTTTTTTGCTGTTTGCTTTGGCTAACTTTCCTGCACATCATTAGGTCACGTTTCACCAAAAGTGTCGGCGACTGTGATGCTGTGCTGTACTCAGATATTGCATCACTGGGAAAATGAAAATCCATATGACATATGCATCTGTTCAGTCTCACTGTCTGCAGTGTCATATGTCGGCGTTCTCACTCCCTACAGACGGCAGATTTAATGAGCCAAGCATATAATGATCGACAAAATGTGCTGCCGTGGTGGCGAAACGCACTTATCGTTAAATGTCTACAGCGTTTGAAATGTTACCAAGAAATGCTAAATGCATTTGTGTTTTTATTAATAAATTTACTTAATGTCATTTTAAAATTAATTCATGTGTTTATGAGATTAACAGAAGTTGGGACTTGTCCGTTCGACGGGGATCGATCCCTTACCTTTAACCAACCTGCTTCTCGTCATCTTGTTTTATTTACAATGAGAACTGCATTACTTTGAATGACGTAAACATGAAATTGTCAGCTGGTGTTGTTGAGCAACCGTGAGCAACTCACCATTCGATACCATTAAGAGTATGAAGCCAATATTATAAAACAATATTTCCAAGCCATAAATGAAATAAAAATGTCATACCTATATTATATTTTCGTATTCACTCTGAATGAATCAGTTTTGATGCGTTAACTTTATTAACGCACATGGAGCCGCAAATCCCTCTGGGCTTTAGAAGCTGACACATATGACAACGTGATTGATGTCTAAACAATATCAACATAAATCTTCCTTCACAATTAATTTATAGTCAAGAATATAAAACCATCAAATATATATAGCCATAAATATATAAAGCCAGAAAGTGTTTGTAATGAAATTTCATTGTAAACAAAAATATAAATATATGTATTTTTATAAATTTATGTCAGAATTCCTAATTGAACTTTAGCCTTTAACTACCATTACTCCAGAGATGTCATTCCCACCAAAGTTCTCGTCCCTTACCGGTCTCACAGTTAGCCTACTGTAATCTCATTAATAAGCTCATTTAGCTCGGTTCTGTCGTGCCGTGTCGGGTCACAGGCCTCACTTTGTAGCTTTCTTTAATTGTTTAGTAAAAGCCAGCGATGGGAAGGCTGGCGGATTTGTGGACAGTTTATGGACGTTGTCACACTAATGGATACTAATGGGGTTTATTAATGCCACTCATGCTTTCAGGGGCAAATAAGGTAATAGGGCAGCGTTGGGCAAAGACCCAGAGTTCACTCGGTGGGAGTTTGTAAACTGTTGGGTCGTGTCTTTCCCTCAGTCAGAGCTACTGTCCGTGTTACCGGGGGCTTTGTTCTCGTCCCTGTGACACAAAAAATGCTTGAAAAGCTGCTAATACAGTTCACCTCGGCTTTGTTTTCTTCTTAGTCTTTGGCACCAAACCAAATCAACTCAGAACAGAGGCAGGTAATAGATATAAATGTAAAAAACAAAAAAAATACTTCAGTTTCTCTTCCTCTCCTAATAAAGACAGTATCTACGTGGGGCGACTTTCAGCTAGTTGGGCGTCAGAAATGTCAGAAAAATATGCAAAATAGTGACAATGTTTACTTCAAATCACAATATAGTTGGCAGTAACTTTAAGCTAGGGTTTGGCTACGTTCAAACTGGTGTTTGGCTAACTTTGAACTGGTGTTTAGCTAAGATCAAACCGATTGTTGGCTAACTTTGAACTTGTGTTTGGCGAAGTTCAAACCGATGTTTGACTAAGTTGCAACTGGTGTTTGGCTAACTTCACACTGATGTTTTGGCTAGCTTCACACTAACTGTTTGGTGGTGTATGTATTTTCCCAGAGATAAATTATTTGTCTTTAAGGCTCCCAGGTTTCATATCAATATTTTGTTTTTTTTGTTGTTGTTGTTAACACATCACCCCTTTTTTTGCCAGTAACAAAGAAAAATACAAACCATGTCAATCAGTGGCATACAAGCGTGCCACTAATCCCACTTGCCAGCTGAATAATTCATCAACAAGTGGAGCGCAGAGAGAGAGGACGTTTTCAATGATTCATTTCACGAGCTGGGCAAGGGGTCTCTTAATTGTTGTTTACTGCTCACTGTCTGACCACATGTTATTTTTATGCGGCGGTGATTACTCCCGGCAGTGCTGAGAGTACTTGGGAAATGAAGTCCATTATGGGACCCTGAGAGCTGTTTCCCTGTCAGGTTTAATGCTACATTTCCAGATTCAAACTTTAGTGTACGGCAGCAATAAATCTGCTCCAATCCTAAGTGTCAGTCTGTGGAAATGAGACGACATAAAGGGATGCAGGCCCCGTGTTTTATGGCCGTGCGCTGAAGGGAAAATACCTGCAATGCTGCACAAAGATTCCCTTTTAATAGGACCCCAGGAGGACTGTTTAACTCTTCGAAAATTAAATCATATGGCAGGGACTTTGAGACGAGTCCTGCTGCAGATTTCGGGTTGATGGCTTCTGCTGTAGTAGTTTTGGTCTTCCCCCTCCAGCTTTATTACGCACTTTGTGTATTGCGATAAAATGTGTGAGGACTCCATAGTCTCCAAGCATTCTGCTGACACAGTGTAACCTGTGCTAAAACATTGTCCACATTCCTAGGTAATAGATTGTCTTTAATTTATTTTTCTCTTTGTGGTTTGGCATTTTAAATGACATAATAATAATAATAATTATCATTATTGTTATTATTATTATTACATTACATTTGAGCCTTTCAAAACAAAAATATGGTTCTCAAACTATGGTGCATGTGTGATTGGTGGTACATATGTTCTCCCTAGTGGGAACCTGATTTCAGTTAAGAACGAATGAGTCGCTCACAGTCAAAATACAGCTGTTGTTCATGCTTTCGTTTTGGGGACACAATTTCTGATTCGACTGATTTGTCCAAACCCCCCCAAAAAAGCAGCCAAATCAGAATTAACAACCAAAAGAAAAGCTAACACACGTACACTTATAATTAAATTTTTCTCTCCATGTTTTCTCACAGACGGACCGGTCAGAGGTTACCAGTACCAGGACCACAACGTTACCGTACCTGCCTGTGGAGGTGTGCCATGAAGCCCTAAAACTTTTTCCATCCTCGGTCTGGCGTTTTCCTCCTTCAATCCCTACCTGGGTGGTAATCACAGGATGGCCACTGCAGTCCCTCTGGTGGTGCATTAACGCCATCACCGCCCACTACCTGGACTACAACCGTCAGCCGCTGTAGCCATGAGCACTCACAGTCGCCCAGGTAAGACAACGAGTTAGTTAAACAGAAGAGTTTTGTTTGGATGTGTTTCCCTTTTATCTTAGTTTAAACTTTTCTGAATTGAGTCTGATTAAGGTTTTTTTAACAGTGATTCCCGGTCATTGGTCAAAAATCTTGAACAATTCAGATTCACGGAATTGCAAATTTCTTCTTTTTTGTTCTGCTACCTTAAAGGTCGAAGAAGTTTCTTAACTCGTAACTACTTTAAAAAAAAAAAAACAAGGTTTTTTAAATGAAATTAACACCTTGTTCAACAGACTTAACCCACTGCGTTCATCAAGAGCTCTTCAATCTTCTGACGAGTGATTGGTTGAGCAGGAGGTCAAACCCATTGGGCCCAGCTTGTTGCAGTATTTGAAGTATTTGCGCTCTGTATAGTTAACGTGAGGACCACGCTGATGTGCATGTCTTTGAGTCTGGAGTCATGAAGATACCATGACTAGTACTACTAGTTAACCAGCTAACCAGTCCCATAAGTAAGCGAAGGTATATTACATGGATTAAATCCGAGACAGTAGTGAGGTACTGTAGTTTCTCATTAAACAACTCCAAGAAATAGATTATCTTTTTCTTGCTGACAACAAGTGTGATTGTGACAAGATTTAGTGTCAAACCTTTTTTTTTTTTTTTGCACCTGAGAATAAACGGAAAAAACAGAGCTGGGCTGTGAAAACAGGCCGTCGAGCAACAGTTAATTAACAACTGTAGCTGTGATACAAAATATCTCAGTGATGTCACTCACATCAAAATAGTTTCTTCTTGTTGTTGTCATTTCCTGGCACGGCGTCCTGGCAAGGAAACATTTAATAATGTATTTCATATATTTGACATACTTTAGGTAGTAGTAGTAGTATGTATGATCTGAAATAGCTTCACGGGTAAAACTGAAACATGAACTGCCTCCAAAGACACGTTACTGGAGTTGACGGTTCGACTCTTTGACACAGCATATTGTTCTAAACCCAGAAACGTCATTATTTATGATACCGTTAAAAGTCTGTTGTTAATTAGTAGAAGTACAAATTTCTAGGAAAGTCAAGGCTGTACATTTCCTAATAAAGGAGCACTTAATTTTTAAAGGTTTAGTTTTTTTTTTGTATTTCCGACCACTAGGCGGCTCAGCACAATATATTTATATACACGGTTATTGTATATACATTTGTACGTAGCACAGATCTATATCACTGATATTATTAATCGTATCTACTTTATCTCCCTGGAGGTTCACGTTACCCCTATAACCCCCCCCACCACCACCACCACCACCCCACACCTCACCTATTGGAAAACTCCTCCCGGGAAAGCAGGGATTTAAATTCACCAACGTGTTAATGTTGAAATATACAGGTGTGAAGCCAACAGGAAAATGAACTTCTTTGTCTGTGTACTATTTCGTGATGTTCCGACTGATATTGACAGTGCAATCGTTTTTTGTGATGTGACAATTGAAACAGCACGGCGTGTTTCGCTGCCAATAAATAATATCCAAGGTGTGTTGCTAAGAAAACCCACACATTTGTGCTGCGTTTGACCTTAAACCGAAGCCCACGTCGCCGTCTCTCTGAAAGTCTTTTTAAAAAAAAAAAAGATTCACACTCGCAACAAAAGGCCGTTTCTGCTCTTCCTACCCATCAGGCTTTGGTCGTCATCGGTCGTATTAAATGCCGTGATGTTGTGGATCTGACCTGTGTGGTGCTCGGTTGATTGCTGGCAAAGACTTCTTTTCTCTTGAACTGAGAATAAAGACAAGGTTGAGGCTTTGCCAGAAGAACGTGCGTCAGATAGCTGTGAACACTGGCACAGGACAAATGTGTCTGTCATTTTTTTTTCTCTTTTTTTTTTACTGAAATACATTGTTATGCGAGTTAAATGGTGGAGTGAGTCATACTTTCCTCTTTTATGTTCCTAGATTGTCATCATTTCCAAACTGTCTGACCACATTTATCACATGATGTTTGTTGTCCTTTTGGAACTCTCATCAGTTTTTTAAAATAACTCGGAGGTATGTAAAGACAAACCCTTCTTTGTCAGTGTGCAGGACATGCTACAACACCATGAGTCGAGCATGAATGAGTTGAGCAAATGGAAAAGACAAGTCTTGCTGCTTTTGGCGGTTTTGTTTTCAGAGATCCAATTGTCTTCATCTGTGAGTGCAGCAGAACAGTGAGGAACTCAAAGAAAAGTTGTTTTTTTCAGGACTCTGATTCAGTCGCATTAAAAAAAGTCTTTAAATGTTGACTCTAATGTTGACCATGATCCGTTAGAGATAAACTGGGTCTGTTAATGGATGTCGTTATTATAAAACCTTTAAAAAAAAGTCTTTAAATGTTGACTCTAATGTTGACCATGATCCGTTAGAGATAAACTGGGTCTGTTAATGGATGTCGCTCATTTTGTCGAACTTTGCTACTTGATAAAAATGTGATTAATTGAGATTCATTAACCACAATAACAGTAACAGTAACGTACGATTTTTTCTTTGTGAGCTGCGATTCGCTCATTTTGTCGAACTTTGCTACTTGATAAAAATGTGATTAATTGAGATTCATTAACCACAATAACAGTAACAGTAACGTACGATTTTTTCTTTGTGAGCTGCGACTGGTTGGGTTTTCGTAGAAAGTTCTTGAAGTAGTTTCGCGGAGAACGGCGCTGTAATTTGATGATCGTTTTGAAGTCGTCACTAGAATCTAGTTTGTCAATCGTCTAAAGAGCCAGAGGGACACAATCGAGACCTGATCCGTCTGCGTGTGATGCGTTTAAGTGCTGATCGGGTAATGTTCTCATTTATCCTCGGTTCAGTCAAATTAGCTTCAGTGGAAAGATGGGCAGGAAAGAGAGTAAAAACGGCGTCGAACAGAAGCCTTCGTGGAGAATTAAAACTTCTCTCTTAACAGAATGAGCAGCAAAAGTTGTTTGGAAAATTCACGTGAAGTTTTTTTAAAAAATATAAATAAGAAATTAAAGGAGTCTTTCGCTGTTAATGGAAACAAATTTTTTTAAGTCCATATTAACATATCGTCCGACAGTCTGACGGTGGTGAACTTGGGTCCAGAAGGTTGTTATGAGTTCAAATCCACCAGCTGTCAAGTTAATAGTACGTTCTGTCGGTTCCATAGTGTAGCGGATAGCACGCCTGCCTCAGAAGCAGAGAGTCCTGCGTTTGATTCCCAGAGGAACCACATGCTAGCGTCAGCCTGTTAACAGCGTATCTGCTGTTAACGCAACAATTTCCCAAATATGGGATCAATATAGTACAAATTTATTTTTGTTTATTTTACTGTTGCCAAGGTTACATGAAGTAACTTTCCTCTAGAACAGCTGGTGGGCGGGGCACGTTGAGACTCATTACCATTTAAGGGCAAAGACAAGGAACCATCTCATTTTGAACACAGTAGTAAACAGTAGTATAATATGTATTTAATCTTTAGATCCTTAATCTGCAGCCCGTCGCCCCCCTGTGGCCGGTGTTAATCCCTGGAGTGTTTCATAGATGTAGTAAAAACAATCATCACACTTTCAAAAATGTGATGGTTTCTGGATTGTGACGACAGTTTTCTCAGTATCACAGTGAGTGGTCGTGTTACTACACAGTCGGAGCTTCCCAGATGTAGAAATGAAGAACATCCAAGACCTTAAAGATTAACCTTCATCTGCTGCCGTGCTCGGACGACGACAGATGATCACGTCGTCATTCTGTGACATCGCCCTTTTCCTGGGTAGGATTAGAAAAGAACCTCGGCTGGGAGGAGGTGGAACCCACTGTATGGGGTCAACAGAGGACAGGGGAGGAAGGGGAGAGGTGGAGGAGGAGGGAGAGAGGGAGAGAAGGAGGGAGGGGGCAGGTGGGTCTTTGAGGATGTAATCCAGCAGTTACACAATCCCCTTTAAGAAAGACTTAGTGCCCCCTGGGTCTCCCAGGGTAGAATGAACTTTTCCAGGCATTAATCCCATAATAAGCCACAGAACACAGGCCTTCCAACTGTGTTGGACTAATAATGCCTGAAATACCCCAGGGAGTGGCATCCTGAGGAGGTGTTGACCTACAGCACCTTTGATTAAAAAAAAGATTCCAAGGAGCAACAGGTAACTAGAGAGCACAGCGACCTCACAGTTTTATAACTGGAATATATTTATATATATATGTGTGAAAATAACAATAAAAGATTACAATAATTTTAAGAACAGTATATAGTTTGTATCTGTTTATTACTGTAATACCCTATGATATGTTAAGGCTAAAATCTGTTATAAAAAATATAAAAATGTTTCATTAATAAATGTTTTCCTTTGGGATATTTGTTCTTTTTTAGATGTAATATTAATCTTAGAATATTTTAATTTGCAGCACAAATACTAAAATCATTATTAACTCTATTTTTTTTTCCTGTTTTTTTTTTTTTTAGATTTTTTTTTTTTTAACTTCAGTCTATTTTTTTGTAACAGTAACCAGGACCGCTGGGACATGATTATTGTTTTGGCTAAACATTGTTGCTATTTTGCCAGTGATTTGCAAAATGTCAGGTTTATGTTTTGGGTATGTGTAGCTTCTAGGAATGAACTGCACGGGTGCCTTTAACAGGGTCACTTCCCTTTAATGTTTCATAACCTGTTAGGAGGAAGGAAATATATCTGAGGGAAACCTGGAGGAAAAGTTAGTTTAAACTTTTGGTGTAAATAAAATGTACATCTGAAAATGCAGAGAATGAACCCAATCGCAGAAATCTGTCGTCTCTTTATCGTACCTCGTCTGTCTGTGACAAAATTAGTTTGATGCCTCCGTGCCCTGGTCATTGGGTCAGTTCTATGTTTGAGTTCTGACTGATTGGGACAAGATGTCGCCGAATCGTTCTCTGTGGTTGATGATGAAGACGATGAGAAGGGATGAAGATGGTTGGTGAAAACACAGGCCTCTCATGATACAGTGGTGCGTTTACAGTAAATAACCGTTACATCGTGAAGCTAGCTTTGGTATCAGTTTA